ACGCTATTGGCTATTTTAAAAAGGGGCGGGGCTGCTTGATATGTCCCGCCCTGTCTTCCTGTTTCAGTTAAAATTATGTCAACACATAGAGTAACGCTGCGTGTTTCTAAGCATTTCAGGGGACCTTTAATATCCTAATGATTTTTGGCACAAAAGAAAAATCAATAATTTTTTTTTTTTTTGGCTATTGCTACAAATATACGCCAGCGACTTAAGACTGGTTTTGTGGCCCAGGGTCACATATTGTACTTTGGCAAAGGTATATTGATGATATTTTTATGTTATGGTCAGGTACTGAAAATCAACTGCTGCAATTTCACAGTTTTCTTAACTCTAGTGAACACTTATGTTTTACAGTTAATTATGATGATTCATGTGTTATTTTTAGTTTTTGGGACATTTGTATTATTAGGGATGGCAAAAAAATAATCACAGATCTTTACAGTAAACCCACTGATTGTAACACACTTGCATGGACAGAGCTACCATCCTACAACTTTGAAACGTAGCTTGCCCATTAGTCAATTTAACCAGATACGTCAAATTTGTAGTACTGAACAGTCATATACACAACAAAGCACTGATCTGGTTAACAGATTTAGGGAGAGAGGTTATAGTGAAGATTAGATACAGTCTGCAGTTAGGAGATTTGGAAATGAAAATCAAGAGGCATCTCTAAATAAAAAAAAACGGTTAAAATCAGAAAATAAAACCATTGTATGTGCTGTTCAATATTCTCCTATTTGTTCAGATATAAAAAAAGATCATAGATAAACACTGGTATATCTTAAAATCTGATACTCTCCTCAGTGATATCTTTGAGAAAACACCAAGGTTTGTGTATAAACGCTCTCCTAATATACATGATCTCCTTGTAAGAGCTGTTAGTTTATCTGTAGAACGACCCACTCACTTTTTATCTATCCTCTCGGGTAACTATAGTTGTGGTCGTTGTGCCCAGTGTAATTTCACTCCAAAAACGAATGTCTTCTCTCATCCTCATTCAGGAAGGGAGTTTAAAATTAAGGGTGTCATCACTTGTACTACTAAAAATGTTATTTATATGATAAAATGTCCATGCGGGTTAGCGTATATAGGAAAGACACAACGTGCTTTAAAAACTAGGATTACAGAACATCGAAGCAGTATACGCACAAATGATCAAAAAAAAAAAAAAAAAAACCCGGAGAACAGTGAGCGTCGCAAAAGCAGTTTCACATTTCCACTCAGAGCGTTTTTTTTAATCAGTCCATTCCAGCAGCACTCCAAGATTTCCATTTTTCATTCCAATCACTGGGATGCGAAACCAGTAATGAGTGATCCTGCAAATATTCTTTCAACAATCTTTCGCAAACTTTCAACGAACCCCCTCTTTGTTCAAGCAAAAAAAATCCCACAACTCCACATGCTGCTCAGCCAATCGAATTGGAGGACCAGAACTAATTATTTTATAATATTGTTTTTTTCTGATTTAGAATTTCTTATGTGCTTTTGGTTTTACCACTGAAGCTTTGGTGTTTACAACTGTACAGTTTGGTATTAGTTAATAGAGGGATATCGTTTGCTTACATTGATTTAACTAGTGCTGTTATTGTTAGCTTACAGAGCTGTGCACATGACATAGTTATGCATTGATTAATTCTAGGATAAGTAATTGTGAATTCTAAAAAAGACGGGGAGTGTTTGGGTGTTGTCTTATGATGGTTTGGGGATTTTTTGATATTGTGGTTGTATTTAAATTTTTGCCTCAATGTGGTGGCTTGTTTTAATTGTGATATACTATAGCTGTTCACATGATTGACTTTGATTGCTAACAGGTGTAATCAATTGGAACTCTGTTTGAATCTGAGTACTTACTGAGCTGTTGCCTTTGCATGTATGTGTGTTTGCTTATGAAGGGAGAATAACAGTGTGCAGATCTTTTTTCTACGTTTATATGACAGCAATATACTAAAACGCAAGTTTTTCCATTTGCATTTTTGAAGAGTTTTGCATATAGACAAAAACGTTTTCAAAACGATCCCTGTTCACATGGATCCACGAAAACAACTAAAAATGCTGCTTTATGCATGCCAGGCCAGTAGTTGCCAATGTCACATATTTTTATACTAGGTAGCTATGTCTGCGCACATACTGAACACGTAATGCGCATCTGCACCGTTTTCACAAATTCATGTTTTGGTAGTTTACACTGTAAAGACAACTGTATTATTTTCAAAAACTTGTACTTTGAAACCAGGTTTCAAAATGTTGCATGTTCAGACTCCCGGAATGCTGTTGTTGTGTAAATAAATGGCCAAAACTTATAAAAAGTTGTCGCTGCTGATAGCCTTGTGGGCAGTGTGCTGATATATAGCACCGTTGCACTGCAGACATCCAGAGATCGAATCCCACATTGCTTCCTGTCACTAGACTAAATAAAGTTAAAACAGTTTTTAATTTTTAGCTGAAAACAGCCCATCGTTCCCCTGTAACAGGCAAAAGAGCTACAAGGAATTCAGTGTCTTTGCATTTTGTAGCACTCATGTTACCTGCATACATCCACAGTTTTTCAGTTTAATATCTCCCCCTACTTCTGCTCCCCTCTGTTGAATCCTGTCAGTGACTTTGTGCTCTTCAAATGCATACTTCACATTGCCGTAATCACTAGACATGTTAGTCATACAGTGTGTGATCCAGGTATTCTGACAGATCCCATAAGCCAGTTCAAATAAACCGTTAGTCACATCGCAGTGCTTGCTCAAGGGTTTGAACAAGGTCGAGTCGAGTATTGCCTTCGGATACATCTCAAAAACTAGATCCGTAAGCCGTGAGAGTTACTTTCCCCAAGGCAAATTAGCAAAAGGCTTGTCACTTGTCTTCAGGAACTAAGACTCAAAAGCGCTTTGATTTTGATTTAACTGCTACTGAAATTAACACGTCAGTCCGATTCAGGCTTCTTTTGTTCAGTAGATGTTTTAAGAAGGATTCAGTGGCAATACTTAACAAAACTGCATAACCATTCCAATTAGTTATGGAAAATAAAACATTTTTGAACACTTTGACAAAAATCATTTGTCGATACTTTTTAGAGCTCTAAACCTAACCGAAGACAGAGTATCCTATTTTAATTCAATCAAGAACACAATAAGTGATTGTAAAAAATGTAATTTACTCACCCTCATATTTTTCCAAAACTGTATGACTTTCTTTTTTCTGTGGAATATAAAAGAAAAATGTTTTCGTCCATAAAATGTTGCTTGGCTGATCAAGATGATTGGCATCTCAACTGAACATATATACTGTACACACAATGCTGTTTGGACGCCACTCACTTTCAAAATCTTCTTTTGCATTATATTTTTGGAACAACATAAACATGAGTAAATATTGACAGCATTTTAATTTTGGGGTGAACTGTTACTTTAAATGCTTCTGTTTCCCATA